AAGCGGCTTCTGCTGAGAACAAGAAAGCAGAAAGCCTCACTTTAAGGGGAACAYATCCCCCCCTCAGTATTTACTCATTTATGTATTTACAGAGGTGTATCATAACTCGTGCTGAAGTTGTTTGTCACAATTTAATAAATCAGTGTRGAATTCTGCAGCAAATAAAAAATGTCTCGCTAATAGAGGCCATACTTTTTTCAATGGTCCAACTGGTTGAAGGCTATGTCTTGCATTTGCTTTCACTCTCAAATCTTTGAGAATGCTTTGTGGAAGGAGGGTGTAGAAGTTTGATAGTCAGCTATCAAGATCTCTTCAAAATCAGTATCAAGGATGCTGGAGGTTTTGAGATGTCTGTTATCAATTGTCACTGTTGACAAACAAGGAGAGGGATTTAAAAATAAAGTACTTGGCACAACTTAGTCCTTTAGTTCTGTGAGTGGTTAAAAATGCTGTCTTTGATGTAAATCAAATCGAGCAATATTTGCAGTCTGCATAACAAAACCAAAATTGGTCTGCAAATCTAAGGCACCACATATGTTTACTCTTCCTTCTGTTCCTAAAGTCTCCGTATTTCAGATATTTTTGGTATATTTTCAGTATTTCAGTATYGCTGGGTTAGTGATGTGCTCCTGTGGAGTAGATGGAAGTGATACAATTTAGATTGTAAAAATATGTGCTTCAAGAAATACAAATACAAAACCAAATAAAAGGGTTGGGTGAAGAGGTGCCGTGTTCACTGTTTGGCATTGAAATTCTGCATTTCTGCTCAAAGAGATGCATTTCCATTTTGTGGTTTCAAGCACCTACTTGATTTTCTGGATTCAGTATTTGTGCACATTCCTGAGGTTCAGGCTGCTGAATTCTGACTCCCATTTTGAGGAAAAAAATGGCCAGTTGCATTGTGGGAAAGCAAAGAGCTCTTCAAAGGTATATTAATTAATTCCTTTCATTAAAGGAACAGAGGGAGAAAATGCAAAAATCAAATAAATTCAAATATGTTAAAAAAGACTGATAATAGGCTAAAGGAATTACATGAAAGAGGCAGGAGGAACTTTAGAAGTACATAAGGCACTGTTAGCTTTCCCTTTCAGCTTCCAGCCTCTGGAGTGATGCTGCAGAGGGTGTTGAGGGGATGTGTTCAATCCATGGGAGCCAAAAGGTCTGGAAGATGAACCAGCAAATTCCCCTTTGGCTCTGGCAACAGGCATTGAGTCTGTGTGGCCCTGGCCATAGAGTTCAGGTGGGATCAGTGAATTCCTGCTGAATTGTGCTSTGGGAAGTGCTCCCTTGGGATTCCAGAGGAGCTGGAGCTCTTTCCTCTGTAGAGGSCATCTCTCAGATCCCCAGCAATGGACACTGGTTATGGTATCTATGTCTTGTAGACCACGAGGGGCGTGTGATGAGCTGGAAGATGAGCCAAGTTGGAGATGTGRTTGTAAGAATCTGTCTGTGCAATCCTTTTGCTTGACAAGTTTATGGATCCCAAAATATGGTGAAAGTTGTACCCACAAAGAAGGGGTTTTATTTTCATTCACAGCACATGTAGAAAAGGGYTCTATTTGTAGTTCTCCTCTGCACATGAAAGGAACAAGTCCTGGGTTTGATTTCATCCAGATTTAGCCTTAAAACAAGAAAAGCTAAATGTGCAAGATGGCTGAAATTCAAGATACTGAGTGTGCTCAGTGAAAAAAAAATTCCTTGGAGTCAAATGTATTGCTGAATACCACCTTAAGTAGCTTTGCTGTCTCCTTGCATCCTTTTTTTTACTGTCAAGAATAGAATAAGAAATTGGAAAAGAGACAAAGGTGTTAGAAGAAAAGAAGACAAAAGAAGGTGTTGATTTTAGGAACTTTGATTTAGTCGATTTTGCTTAAAAACATTAAGCTTTTGCACTACAAGTATCCTTTGAAAAAAGGATGTCTGTCTTTCAAAATCTTGAATGGGAAAACATTCAGGTTTGTGTCAGGCAGCGCTTACAGATTTTTTTCAGATGGAGGTTTAAAAACAGACACCTTTTTTTAAAGTGATTTTGGGGTTCTTTCTTTGTAACTTGACAGGATGGTTTGTTCAAGTCAATAGTCTTTTGATCACTCAAAAGACATTGAAATAAAAAACATCAATGCTTCCAGTCTTTTGATCCAGCTCCCTTAAGTATTGTTGCAAGAGGAATGTATCAGATTATTATAATTTTTCAACTTGGCTTTATGGGCACAACCTGGAGCCACATTTTTGGGTCTAACCCAGACWGTTTGGAGGCTGGAGCCATGTTCATGGGTCCAACCTGGAGCCCTTTGGAGCCCCGTTTCTGCATGTTAACAGTGTCATCTTTTTTTCCCAGCAGGAGAATAATTTCCTAATTCATTTGTGCTGCCGACCACTCTTCACTCTACTTATAAAAGAAATACAATAGGGTTTAGATTTTTGTTTTTAAATGACCTTTAAACCTTGAATTAGAAACATAAAGCTGTGAATATGTAGGGTTATCTTCTCCTGAATATCTCTGTAACCCCGATCACAAAAGCTGTAGAGAATGTTTTCCATAGAATTGAATTTTAGCAGAAAAAGAAAGTACATAATTAAAAACAAATTCTGGTCTTTGTACAGAGCCTKGGTTTTTATATATGTGTGTAAAAAATAGTGATTCTAAATTTGTTTAAATGGGTTACTTGTTTTACATTAATTATAAACAACACTTGAGAGCAACCATTTTCTCTATGATTTGTTTTGTATCTCATATAATGATTGCAAACAGCTTAAGCCTCCAATCCAGATGGATCASGTATAGGCCCTCAAAATGGCCGATATCTGTCAGGAGTGGTGAATCTGGATTTGTGGTGTGCTCCTTGCATGTTTCAGGAATAAACTTCTGGAAGAACAGGTTGAAATCCCCATTGAAGCTGGTGGGAGTTTTGTGACTGACCTCAGTGGGTTTGGAATTTCACTGTAAGGGCTTTCAGGTATTCTACAGACTGAAGAGGTGACCTGTTTGTTAGTGACCCAAATCATTCACTGCACAACTTCCATCCTGCTCAAATTCCCATTTGCAAGCCCGGAAACAGAAAGAAGAACTGTAGGAAAGTAAAACTCTGGATTTCAAGTGAGAAAGTCACTTGAGATCTCTCCACATCACACTCTGGCTGGTTATTCTGGGTAGCAGAAGTGGCTGAGCTGGAGCTGTTATGATCCACAGCACTTTGTAAGGAGTGGGGAAGCAGAGASAGAAACTGGTGCACTTAGAAAATGCCTTGAGAAGGTTCGTGACACAAGTGACTGCAACTCCCCAAAGGAATTGGCACCACGGCATGCTCAGCATTGCTGGATCCTTTGAAAGGGGAGTTTTWAAAAATCCACTGTGGGATGCAGTGAAGGCACTGATTCTGCCAGTGAGAAAGTAATCCCAGGATTTTYTCAAATTCCTACCACAGTCACATCCAAATGGATGTCACCGAGTCTCTTCTTTGAGTTTTGAGCTCTTTCTTTCTGGAAAACAAGAAAACAGAAAGAAATACATGAAGATCCAGAATTGCAGAACAGGGAAATGAAATCAGTTTGTCACAGGAGATTCTTATTTTATTGACAYCTTCAGTTTGTTTTGATGTCTGTAATTAAATTGCTAATTATGTGTTTCTGTTGCAGTGGTCATGCTTTTATTACATAATTGCTACAAGTTTTTCTCTCCCCACTAAAAATATTTGTTTAACCTTAGTGCATGCTAGTTACATCCTTCAGAATGGAAAACCTTAGAAACTGAGTTATTGATTGTTACAATTAACTAAATCATAGGGGCTCAAAGTTCTTTGCCATAAATTAAATATGTTTTGTGGCACAGGATCAAAGATAATTAAAGGATGAAGCAACTGAAGTCATTAAACAATAAATACTATTTCTATGCCAATTGAAAAAATAAAACAACAACAGCAAAAAAAAAAGAAAAGCAGGAAAATGGACAGATTTTAAAAGGAGGGGGAAAAGTTTAGCCTAAGGTAAAAACATAATTTAAAAAAATAATTTGTACTGTGATCCTTTGAGCTTCCTTCTGTGTTGTCTCAAAAAGCGTCTGTGTAGGTGAGATGCATTTCAGTCACCTYCTCTTTTTTTCTTTTTCCCTTTTGAGTTTAGGCATAATTTTTGTCAGTATATTTCAATGTATTCATTAATTTTTCTCATTTGTTTATTTTATGCAAACCATAAGAGACATTTTTTCCTCAGTGAAGATTGCCTCTTTATTTTATTTTGAAATATTTGTATATTTATTTCATTAAATGAGATAATGCTTTTTCTTATTAACATAATTTCCAGTACATTAAACATATTTCTCCACAGACAGAAGAGAGGAATCAGATTAAATGACAGTTAAATCACTTGCAGCAATTTCAACTGTTAAAAGAAATAAGTGTCTCTGTTTTCTTTGTGATCACGAGATGTGCTGTAAAGGGAAATGAAATACTAAAGAAAGGAGGGAAAACATAAAGAAATAATGACTGACTTATTGCAGTAATACCACTGAGAGAAGAAAAACTCACTACAAATAAAAGGAAAAATAATATAGTGGTTTTGAAAGTTACCAAAATTCATTTCTTATTGATGAGATCTGTGAGAGCCTTATACTGAGTAAACTGAGAAGGGAAAAAAGTAGCAAAGCACACCCAAAGCCAGACAATGCCATAAACTGTGGGCRAGGAAAGAAGGAATAAATACTGTGCATTTGGAGGGCTGTTACTCTAAATGCCTCTAATTTTTGAATAATTTATTTTTTACCACATTTAGGGAAGAGAGAGGAGAAGCAATTATCTGTTGGTGAGCTAACCATGCCCCTGTGCTGATGTGTTCAGGGATTTCCAAATGTCCAGGTGTCCTTCCTGCAGCTCTGTCCCATTTTCTTTGTCAGATGTGGGGCGACGGAAGGGGAAGAGCATCTTTTATTAACTCTTTTAATAASATGTTACAGAATGATTATAATATTTTTTGTCTTACTTATATTTTAATTATTTTAATTTCCAGAATCTGAATCAGCTGCTTTGAAGAGATCTTTTGGCTGAGTGACTGAGCTGAGGCATTTCTAAGGTAATGCTGACATTATTGTTTTGCTCCCAGTGAAGATTTCCTCTGTGTGCTTTTAGCTGTAAACCAGTTATTTTTCACCAATTTTATGTGCCTGATCTTTTAGTCCTGGGCAAGGACTAGTCCAATARTTGCCATTTTCCTTCTCTTTCTGTTTCCCATTGGTGTACTCTCCAACTTCACTGATTTCAGCTTGAAGCTCAAATCAGAGAAGGGATTCTTGARATGAGGGACCTGTTCTAATTCCCTGCTCTATCTCAGAGTTAACTAAAATTATAATTTTTCAAGAATTTAAGTTACAGTATTCTTGCTATTAAATGCCTAAYTAGGAAATGTGATGTCATGGGGTCCAGCATCCTGCCTTATGTGATATGGTGTGGGCAAAGAGGTGGGAAAATGGCACCTTGTAAGGCTTTTAAGGAATTGTTTTCTGGGGATGGAGAGCAGGCTTTGCCTTCCTCTTTGTGCTCATCTGCTGAAGCTAAGCAGGGGATGCTGCAGGGTCATCACCAAAGACTTTTTCACTTTGGGGTTGGCGTCCCTTGGGTCCCCTTTGGAAGTTGGATTTGTTGTGCTGAGGGGACTGTTTGAGGAATGGAGGTGGTAATGGAATTTAGCAGTTGAGGAGACTCTGAGAAATYACAGAGTATGTGAAACATAATTAAAGAAATAAAACCAGAAAAGTTTGCCACCGTCCTCTGACATCCTGCCAAGCAGAGTCACATCTGTGTCACTGGAGGGGCATCAGCTGAGCCCTTRCTCACAAATGCTCCAAAGCTTCTGGTGGGCATAGGCCAAGGATAGTCCAAGTTCTGCCACAGGATCCCTGCCTAAGGAAGCTCTRCATGACAGAGAGAGCTGGTAAGTGGAACTGAATGCACAGAAACATTTCTAATGGTGGTGCTCATACTTAAAACCTTCATTACCATATTTTCAGGGGGCATAATAATCATTAAAGTGTTTATTGTGCCCTTGTGAGTTGGGGCAGGAATGTTATCCTTTTGCCCACACGTGGAATGGAAACAGACAGCCCAAGTACTGAGCTCCAGCTCGTGTGGGAGGGTTGCCAAAGACCTGGTCCTGTTCTGTGGCTTCTTTTGCRGGATCTTGACCCATCGTCTTGGCTTTAGGTTCTTGTTCAGGGTGTGCAAATAAGAGATGAGTTGTGCTGGGCTTCCTCTGCAGTCAATAATAGAGGGACAGGGATCTCCAAGGGAAAATTCTGATCTCTGGGCATTTTCAGCCTTTCTCAATAAGTTTTGGAGGGTGTCTACAGAACCTCCCTCTTAATGAAGTACCTGAAGAGAGACTTTTGCATCTCTCGGCTCTGGACCCTCACTAAGGACACAATTTGATTCAAAACCACCATGAAACAGAACCTGTCTCTTTTTGCCTCAGCTGAAGAAGCCCAGCACAGCTGTAATTAACTTTTGAAGATGCCCYACTGTGCTTACAAAATGTGACTGTGACTTACATCGACAGGCACCCAACAGCTGGACAGAAACTGGCAAATAAAAAGCTGCCTTGATGAGGTGTGAGTTTAAGTGAATGGATATCCTGCACTGGACTTTTTTGCAATCCAGTCACCCTCTAAACATCTGTGAAGTTCTTATCTCTGTGAACTATTATTGTTTTTGGTCTCAGAGGTGGACAGGCAAGATGACCCAAATGTTCTCTATTTTCAAACTTTAGTTTATAAAAGTGTCAGTAAAAGCTTAGTTAACTGTTTTTAAGRAAACTGGTTTTAAATCAAGTAGGGGATGAGAAGAATCTCTTTTAGAATTTGCCRAGATTATATTTTGCATATTCCATACTGAGGCCGTTTCTCTTCTTGCGACATCGCAAAAAACGAAATCAGTCTTTCACTGTGAGGGGATGATGCTGAAGGTGTTCTCAGAATAACATGATTTAGCTTTTGGGAAATATTAAAGCATGACTACATTGGACCTTTTTATGTTAGACAACAGCAGTTTTTCCATTCYGCACTAAATACTCTATTCAGATTTCTCATCTTGCATGATATTGCCTATTTCATGCCTCTGACAAAGTGGCTGAAACAAGCTCTTTCCCCAGACTTGTGATATTTGTGGATAAAGGATTATTACCTGTGGTATTTTTTAAGCAATGAATAAATTACAATATTGTTTAGGCTGATGCAGACAAGGTGTTGGGTTTCTTGTCTGATGCCACAGCAAAGGTTTGTGTCAGAGTTCAGAGAGGATTCAAGAGCATTGGACTCCCTCTTTTTGTGCTTGGATCAGTAGGTTTAAGATCTAGAGTGGTCTGAAMTATACACCAGAAGATTTTCTCATTCTGTTTTTCAGGTAGTATTTTGGCTRTGTGACCTATTCCATTGTCACATGGCAATATTTTAAAATCAGTGAGCAAATTTGCTTTTTTGGAGGGGTACTAAAATTCATCTGTATCTTGCTGATATGTGGAAGTGTGTGGTGGCAGTGCCATGCCACGCTCCTGGGTTTTGGCAATTATGCAGCTGCCTTTCCTGGAGAAAGGMGAACACACCAGGTTCATGGGAACACCTGAGTGTGGAAGGGTGGCTTGGGAATTGTTCTCCTCATGGCAGTGTTGGAGGAAACTGAGTGAGACTCTGTGCTTGGGGTTTTGTTTTTMTTTGACACAATAGGAATAGCAAAATGAGAGAGAAAAAAATAAGGCTGATTGCTCTTCAGAGGAGACCTTAGACAACAGAATCTCTCYACTCCATTGACTCTGGTACATGTCTGACTTGATTATTCTTGTCCTGGTGAAATATGAGGCAGCTGGACAGTATCTTGACTGAAATACATTGGAGGAATAGGGAAATGCAAAGTACAGTTTCTGTGAAAATCAGAATCTCTATTCCCTTTTCTACTTTTGTTGATTCTTGTGACTGTGATRCAATTGATTATCTCTAAAAATTATTCTCCTGAGGTGTGAGGAGTGAGCCTTTCCCTAATGGATGAGTAGAGCTCTCAATTCCTCCCAGACTTGAGGCACAATTTTTAACTTTTAACTTTTTATTTTGTTAAGTTTGGTGTTTTGTTATTTTTTATTCTGTGACTGTCAGTTCAATACAATTTTCCAAAATAAAATTCAGAGGGAATGTTGTAGCCTCCTCTGAAGGCATTCAGCTGCTCCATTCCTGACTGTACCGCACATCCTGCCCARTTTTCTGAGGACATGAGGTTCACCCCAATGGTCTCTTCCCCTTCTCCCTGCAGTGACTTTGGCATTTCTAAACCTGTTTTTGGAGGAGAGCAATGTCTCAAAGTCATTATGTTTTATGAGTTGCATAATTACCGGTGTCTGGATATGTGATGGGGATTCCTCACTGAGTGAAAGATGGACAGGGCTCATTTGATGCCATTTTTCTCCATTGGCAGCAGCAGTGGCACAAACCACAGCATTCACTTCTGTCCTTTGCATGACGAGGGCAGGAGGTGGTGTGACAGAACAAAAAGTGATCATAGCAAACCAAATTTCAATAGCTCTCTTGTTTTGTGGAACAGATCATTGTTTCTTTTTTTTGTGGAAATTCAAATGGAAAAAGTGGCTTAGATGGAAAAAAAAAACCCAAAACTTTACTCAATGTTTCTCTTGATATTTCCAGCAAATGTGAACATAATGAAATGATTGTGCTTCTTGAAATAATTTGGTTAAATTTAGCTTTGTTTTTTGCTTAAAAATGGGAGGGGGGAGTGATAATAAATGTCATTTGAAAATAGAAGTGTCCTTGGTTTCCTGTTTTCAGYAAGCTTAAGATAATTTATTTGTTCTACTTGTAGTTTGTCAATTGATGCCTCCCTTCCCAAACTGTCTGTGGGCTGCCTTAGCCAGAGTTTCCTACAGTTATTTTTGCACTATTGTTAAACAGAACCATCCAGCATGTTGCTTTTTCAATTTACTGTGTGGGATCTGCACATAGTTTTCCATTGTGGCATATTTGTGTGTTTGTCACTTTTATTGTTTATATGCCAGCATATGGCCAGAAAAAACAAACTTCTTTCCTTGGTTTTCTTCTTTTGTATTGTTTAGTCCACACTGCCTTTACAGCAACAATTTGTAGAAATCAAATTCCTAGAATGTAATTGGTTTGCTTGAAAAAAAGAAGGAAAATTTGGAGAATACAGGTCATGGATTACAGAGTGTTTAAGAGGGGCTTTATTTTACTACCCAGGGCTGCACATAGGGTAAAAAAGCCAATGCCTATTTTTATTTAAACTCCAGTTTAGTAATTTGGTTTCATATATCTCACCATGCCACTTGCACAGACATTAGTGCCCGCACCAAGAGCTTCACTACAGCAAGCAGAACTCTTCATGTAGCCAAAACCTGCCTGCAGGATATCAGTGCCTGACAAGGACCATATGTTTGCATTTGTGGGATATGGAACCCCAAACCAGCACCACATGTTGTCCAACTACTGCTTTATTGCAGTTGATCCAAAATTGACCAGAGATATATGTGGTTTGTGTTTTTTTTAAAGTACTGACTGTGTAGTTCTTGTTTTGTTCAATTTTGAGCTTCTAGAAAAGACCATTTTTCCTTAATTTCTGTGTGGCATCAATGCTTACATGGCACTGATAAAGAAATTTCTTGGTTTATCTATTAAAGAAATCATTGTAACCCTGGCCATATCAATGAAGTGATCAGCTCTGTCTTTCCATAGATTATTGGCACCCACTGGGACATGATTTGGCTGTAATTTGAGGCAGGAATATTGTTGTTAGCATGGCTCCTGTGAAACAAAGAGTTAAACTTCTAAGCAAAATAATCATTCACTTGCAAAACTCTGCTTTCTTATCAGTGCCGTTCCAATGTACCACRTATTTTTAGCAGTGACCAAAGACCAGTAACCAGTTTGAAGTGCCATATAACAAATGTATCATGATAAATCCACAATGTTGGCTTCTCCTGGATTTTCCATTTGTTGGAAGCTGTTGCACACCGCAGGTCCCACCATGTAAAATCCTGCTGGAAACAAAATACTAATTTTCTGTAGT